TAAAAATTCCTCAATTAATTTGATGAGTATACATTTCTTATCTTTCAGATAACCATCCTAAATGCCCATCCAATCAAATGGCATTGTATACAACACAAAATTTCCTTTAATGCATGATTAAGAATCAATTTCAATATATGATAATAGAAATTCATACCTGCTAATCAAATTAGATGATACCAGTTGACATTAATTAGATACACCAAAAAATATCACTATATATTATTCTTTTAAATTATACCTAATTTAATATTCGTCATGAAAATTTGACGATTCATTAAATATGTTATGTCTAATGTATAGTATCATTAGGGTCACTGCGGAACCGTGACCCTGTGGTATCGTTAAATAACTAATGCTCGTGATAAAAAAATTGACATCACGTGTAACTGACAATAAACTTTCTTGTAATCTTTTTTTTTTTTTTTACCTAAAAGCTTCTAAAATAACAATTACAATCTAACATTTTAAGATATTGAATTTAAAAAATAATTACATTTTATCATACAAAAAAGCAAAGAAAATTGACTTATTAGTAAGGTTCCAATACAGAAACGAAAATAAAGTATAAAAACATGATCTAACCTCATGCCTACAAGTACTTGTTCCTTACTAGGACATAATCGCATTCTATAGCTAACTATACGAAAGGAATGAGACACGAAATAGCTCATCATTACTAAATATTAATCATACATCACCGATAAATTCGTAATTTTAAGAAAGATTTAACAAAACATTGTTATTATTATAATTTGACCGCAAATTTTTTAAATGAAAATTATTAATCGATTTTTATAAAACAATATTATATAAATATATATATAATTTAGCTTATTTCTTGATTTAGCTGTAATGACTCGTTAAATAATAATTATCGTTATGTTTACTGAATCTCATGATTCATTGACCGCCATGATTCTTATAAAGTATCAATTTATTATGCACAAAAGAGATATATATACTAACTAACAAATATTCATTTTACAAATTATGCGAAAACACTAATAACTTAAGATGCGAAGACTACAATCAAACTTAATGTAACCCCCCCCCCCCACAAGCTGTGGCTATTAAATTCGTGTCGTATTTTCTAGGCTTTCCTCAAGTGTGACTGGTGAGACCATTGTTTTTACCACAACTACAGTAGATGGAAGAATGTATGTTGTGAAGGTTGTAATTTTTCCTAAAGAGTTAGTTATTGTAATTGTTGTGGTATAACCGGCATAATATAATGAAATTGTGGTTGTGATAGGTGTAAAAGTAGTTATTTTGTGTTTCTTCGGCTTCTTTTCATTATCGTTATTTTTATTTTTTATTTATTCCCATCATTATTCTCACTTCATTATTATTATCTGGAGTTGGCATTATTGTTTCTATTGATGATTGCACAGATGTCTCAACTATCGAATGCTATTATTGGAAAGAATTTTAGTAAATAAAAATAATACCATTATTCATTGCATACAATATATTCACTTACACTCCCGGTGGAGTTTGCATCCTGGATCATCGGGAGAAGCACAAGTTACTTCCGGTTCAGGCACTTTCGGTGGTCCGGGTTTAGGCTCTAATTGTGGTTCGGTGGTTCGGGATCTGAAGAATGCTAATTGAATCCTTCAGATCATATGTTGATGTTGCACCATTAAAGGCAATGAGTGCCGCAATAAGAACTATGATAAGTAAACAAAGTTGCTAGTATTTAAGTTCAACATAAGACATCTTGAGTCTAGTACATTAAGAAAGGATTCTTTTTTATTATCTTGTTATTGTTTTAGAATAATTTATAACCAAATAAATCATCTGACGAAAATCATTTGTACATTTTAACAGTTAATAAATCAAATGTCTAATTAAGAAAATCCATAGTCGTCTATAGAATTCCTAAGTATATCAAATTATATTTTTTTTACCCTTTTAATTAATATAGAGTAACTAAACAGGTTGAGGTGCGGCGACTCTGTTGCCGCTAAATGATCTTTTTCTAGGTATTATCTACTGTGCAAAATTTGATTTTTATATTTTGGAATTAGCAGTCAATTAATACTACGGAACGATTTTGCAGATCAATACATTTTGAATCGTTTGGTTTATAATTGAAGATGCATATTGTATTTGTACTTCAATAAACATGATTTCTTTTTAAACTTTAATTTTTAAAACATTACAAATATAATTTGCTTTGCGGTATAATGACCTGTCACGTAACGTATGTGAAATAGAAAATTGGTATAAATTTATAAAATTTGTACCTTTCTATTTGTTTCAAAATATTTGTAGGTAATTTAAAATAAAAATAAAGAAATTCAATGGTTAGAAAAATATTTAAGTTATTGTATATAATATAATTCTGCCCACAGAGACGATAATTCTGGTCAACAAATCGTTCATGTTATCAATTCCAGCCAGATCGCAAATGCGATATATTGGTGTTGTAATGGCATTGTTTGCTGAAAATAAGCCAAGAGGATTTAGAAATGTAACTAAGCCAAATGGCTTTTGTACCTAAGCCATATGGGAGGGTTGCTATTAAAGTCGAGTTACGAACATAGTAAATCATATGATCCGTAACGTGATTTTAATAGCTTACTTCCATATGTTAATACATTCAAAATACTTTTTTTATTTCATAAAAATTATGTATAAATAATTAAATTACAGAAACTGTCCAATATAATACGGTCCGAAAGATTACGATTTACGCTTTTAAATTGCTTTCGATAATTGTGGCTAGTATTTGTAGATCATTTTTGACCAAGTTGGATTCAGTTCTTTCGTTTATGTAGTTATAAACAATTTAAATGTAAAGCAAATGGTTTTATTGAGTTAATGTTGACTCTAAATTGATTTAATAATATCAATTAATAAGTGTTGCTTCAACGTCGGTGCTCTACACTTTCGCAACGTCAATATATTAATAAATAAAACTCGATTCAATATTTTTCTCCAGAATGCAATATGCAACGAAGCGAACACCAGGATAAATAGGTGAACTTAACTACGAAGCTTGTCGAACATTTATATCTATAGACCTTACTTGGAGGTGATGGCGGAGATTCCATCTTGTCGCTATATAAGTTAATGTTAGGCTTAATCTTCCACCATCGAAGTAACTTCCTTTTTGGTTGATTCCAAGTAATTTTATAATCTATGATCGGTGGCTTTAATGAATTCTTCAACATACCAATAACCTTTTTATCCATCTTGTCATTATGTGTTACAAATTGGGCATTAACTTTACCAGCACGAGCAACAGATTCAACTAAATTCTGAGAAACAAAATTATCATTCCCAATGAAAAAAGTCGCAAATCATCCTTTTTTTTTCCTTCCTTTTCACGTATAAGTTCTACAATTTGTTTTAACATTATAAACTTTCCCAAATGTAATGAGAAATACAGAGGTGGTCATATCATCTCTTGAATTCTCAAATACCCATTTTAATATTCCAAGAATTTCCGTTTCACCATAATCTGAGGTCATTGATTGAGCAAGATCGATAGCCTGAGATAATGATGTTTCGGAATAAAGTTGACTTTTT